GGCTCGCCAAGTGCGGACCATATTGCTCAACACCTCCGTCGCACGTCCATTTTGGAGAGCCGAAAGGCACGCCTCGCTGATCGCGCATTGCATGCGGAGAAAGTGAGGCTGCGAGCCGCTCTGGCTAAAGCGGCTACAAGAAACCTACAATTTGAAGAGAGGGCGTTAGCTGCTCAGCAGACCCGAGAGCGTCTGCTCGCCGATATCACCGCCAAGTGCGAGGACCAGGTCAAACGGGCCAAGAAGAAGGCCGAGGATCATCGGGAGAAGAAAGCTGCCGACCAGGCTCGTTTGCGTCTGGAAATGGCGGATAAGCTTGCGGAGGCAGAGAAACGGCGCACATTATACCAGCAAACCCACCGCCGCCAGCGCACCAGCAGCCTGCCAGCCACCGAGGAAAAGAAGATGTCCCGAGAGGTCATCAAGTCGCTTACGCAAGATACGGCTGCGCGGAAGATCCAACGTGTATGGAGAACCCACAACGCGAAGATGATTATGCAACAGTTCCAGTCGTTGAACCTGTCTGTGAACCGAGTTCGCGATATGAGCTTTGAAGAAGTTGGCACTCTCCTTTCTAATAACGAGCTGCTTGATACGATGACGAAAGTCATCCGACTCTGTGGACTGCAAGATATGGAAGGCGGAGCCTTGGGTGAGAGGGGTGCAGTACGCACATTCCTCAGCAGTTATCTCATCGTCACTCATCCGCAAGAGGTTCTGAGTAGCAATGGAGACCAGGAGCAAGATTTGATTGCGAAGGCCCGAGAGCTTCTGGTCGCGTTTGACCAGGTCACGGCGCTGCTATCGTCGGGCTGTTGCTCTCCATCCGTGATCACCGCGGATCTCCAGGCTTTGTGCGAATCACATACTGTGTTTTTCTCTGCATTCCATGCTTGGAAATCCCACGATTCTTCCGTACTGATTGAGATCATGGTTGCACAGTTTGTCGAATTGGAATTGATTTGGCAGACGGTCAAAAACGATAAAGCTGGCGGTGCAGCAGAAGACTACAGACTGGGTATCCGACAGAACCAAGTTCTTTTGCTTGCTCGTCTGAAGAGACTTGCGGGACCTGACCGACACATGGAGATGATCCGAGATTCATTGAAGAAGGCCAAGCGCGAGAAGAAGAGGGCTGCCTCCAAGCAAGCTATTCCTCGGTCTGCCGAGGCTGCTCCTCCAACCACGGAAGTTACGCAGAGCGTCACATCGCCTCTTAGCGAGTCATTCAGTAATCTCGATGCCGCAGTATTCCAAGAGCTGGACAAGCAGCGGACATCTCCCCACGAGAGATTCACCAAGATCCTCACCCCTCTGCCTGAAAATCGGGAGCTGGTGCATGAACTTCTCATTAACAAAGAGTTCAAGATTGAGGAAGCACCGTATACTGAACCGCGCAGGCAGATTATGAAGCAGATGTGCGACACAATGAGAAAAGGCGTGGAGACTGGACACGGCACCAACTGGACTGTGGCCATGGCCACAGTGATCCAAGATCGCTTGCTGCGCTCCCTCCAACGGGGCAATTCCCTTTATGTGATAATCAGTGAAGTCTTAGACCCAAAACTGGTTCAGGGACAGTGCGAGGCTGGCACATTCTCCTATGATAATTTCTTTGAGTTCATGAACAACATCTTACCACGCCTCTGCGCTCCTTACCGGGACCCTGTGGTCAAGGCATACATTGAGGATACGTCTGGCGATGCTATCGACCGGCTAGCTCGATTGATGAGCATTATTGACCTGCTATCACTTGACCAGACGAATTTCATGATCCAGCTTGCTGCCCCTCAGCTCATTGAAGAAGCTCCAGGTTATGAGCAGCGGGCATTCGATCGAGACGTCACAGACCGGACAATCAGCCTGGGCAAGACCCGACGGTTTTGGCGTACTCATCGCAAGATCATCGTTGATGAGATGAAGAAGCGAGACCCAGAAGGCATCCAGGGAGAACCACGCCCACCACCAGCACGAGTTTATGCCCAAGGTCTTGCCGACACCGTTCTCAGCAATGCGATTGTATCTGAGGATCTAGTTCCAGAGACTCTGAGCCTCGATCGCCAACGCCTCGAACGGCTGCACGCCAGGGCATTCCAAATTGTAGCAACAGCTTCCATCCTGTTGACCGCAAAGAACCTACTGAAGCGAGACGCACGGTCTCAATGGAAGCCTGAAGCAGACCGGATCCTATCTCTGGACTTCAACGAGATCAGCGCAGAGCGAGTACAGTCTATCCTCGAATCGACGCATCCGATGCCACCCGCCGCGAGCGCCCAGCTCGCAGCTACCATCAAACGAGTGCTCGGACCCGTCGCCACGGCATGTCTTGCAGCCGCACCCCAACTCGCGGTAGTGGCTTCAGAAACCTCTGCCTCAGACGCGTCCTCCGCGACAGACTCACAAGGAACCGCGACCGTATCTAGCTTCTCGGACCCTGTCACGAAACTCATTCTCTCTCGCCTTCGCGGTCACGTCCTATCGCGTCTCAGCGCATCGAGTGCCTCTGAACGGGTGCGGGCTACCACCACGGCCAGTCAGAATCTAGCTGGAGCGGGTATGCCAGAGTTTGTCAATGAGGTTGGAAAGTTAGTGGAAGAATTAGAGAAGATCCGGGAGGTTGATTGGCTTTGCCACGGGGCGGTATATGAGGGTTTATATGACGAAGGTGCTCCAGCATAAGGTGTTTTAGAAGGGCATATATAATATCTTTTTGTTTTTTTGTTTTTGCCCTTTTGTTATTTCCATTTTTGGACTATGGGAGGTTGGACTTTTGGACTGGGCAGATTGGCAGGGCAGGGTATACAACTAGTTTCTAGGGCTTTTGTATGGAGTTATGAGACCTTTTTATTTTCTTTATATCATTCATAGAATATGAAATGTTTATATGAAATTCCAATATATAAAATCTATATAACCTACCTAGGTAGCCCTGTCCCCATATATCCTCCCTATCTAATCAGCCCCCCCATCAAAAATCCTAACCTCACTTCCCTTAACCTCACTTTAATCCCTCCAATTTCTTTAATCTCTCCAATTCTCATTGACACAATCCAATATGTCTCCAAAGGTCACAATAACACACCTATCCGACCTCACACCCCCTTCCCAAGAACGGACCTGGCTCACAGCCCCGCACCCCACCCTCCCAATAGTCGCAACCTGCAGTTCAGACAAGACCATCCGAGTCTACTCCCTCACAAACTTCACCCTCCTCTCCACAATTACCGGGGGCCACAAGCGCTCCGTCCGCACAGCAGCATGGAAGCCACACATGGCGGGGGAGTCCGTCCTGGCGACGGGCAGTTTCGACGCAACAGTCGGCATCTGGCGGCGGTGGGATAGTTATGGGCAGGAAGACAGTACCGGGATGGAGATGAGTAGTGGCAATAAAGAGAGCCCAGCCGATAGTTTGACAGAAGCCCCCAACGGCACCGGTACCGACACCCCAGACCGTGAAGAAGACGAAGAAGAATGGCGCTTCGCAGTCCTACTCGACGGCCACGACAGCGAAGTCAAGTCCGTATCATGGTCTGCCTCGGGGATGCTGCTCGCTACATGCTCGCGTGATAAGTCAATCTGGATCTGGGAGGATCTCGACGACGGCGATAACAACTTCGAGACCGTTGCTGTGATGCAGGAGCACGGGGGCGATGTGAAGTGTGTTTCGTGGCATCCTTCCGAGGAGTGTCTTGCTAGCGCGAGCTACGACGATACCATCCGTCTATGGCGGGAGGATCTCGACGATTGGGGCCAGGTAGCATGTATCAAGGGACATGAGGGGACAGTTTGGTTTTTGGATTGGGAGGGGGAAGAATCAGAGAATTGGAACGGGCCAATTTCCGATTCCGTTTCCGAGTCTGACCTGAGCGCTTTACATGCTCAGTGGCGTTCCCAGACAGCTCTCTCCGGCCCACGCCTCGTCTCCTGCTCGGACGACCGCACCGTGCGCGTGTGGCGGCGCCAACCGAAGGAGTCGCAGCAGAACGGGGCACTGTCTTCTGCGACGACAGGGATCCCGAGTATCATTCGGCCTACCGGGACGGATGAGGCTTGGGAGGAGGACACTGTGCTCCCGCATGCACATGAACTGCCTGTGTATGCTGTGGCGTGGAGTAAGCGGACTGGGCTTGTTGCTTCGACTGGTGCGGATGGGCGGATTGCGCTTTATGAAGAGCGGTTTGTTACGGGAGAGCAGGGGCAGGCTGATTCAGATGCTATGGACACTACGTCTGGTGATGTGCTGCGGACGGAGTGGGTGCTTGTTGGTGTTCAGGATGGGGCTCATGGAATTTATGAGGTTAATCATGTTGCTTGGGCGAAGAGGGCGGATCGGGGGTCTGGGGGTGAGGTGCTTATTTCGACAGCCGATGATGGGAGTGTCAAGGTTTGGACTGTGACCCGGTGATTCTTTTTTGGGATTTGGGTCTGAATAGCTTATAGACAAAATGCTTGATGTATTTAGAGGCCAGACAAAAGAATATATAATATATCACCTGGCCATCGTGTATTAGAAGAACAGAGCTATATAGATGATAAAAACACATATAAGCTCATAGGCAAAAGTTACTTAAGAAACCATAGTATCCTTAGACCCCATCAAGCCAGATATTGGTGATATAGAGTGTCAAGCTGAAGACTGATTCGGATGAGAATACGAGGCGATGGAAGACAGGATGATTGAAGCGAACATATTGGCAATTACCAGCCTTCTCGCGCTGATTGAAAACACACCGCGAACCATTCGCCCTGCATATCCAGCTGATAGAACCAGTAACAGCAGCCATCACTCTCAAACCCCCAGACTGTATAATATAGTTAGGATGATTTCAGTAAGGAGGAAATAGAGATGAATTGACCTTGGAACTTCGTCAGTAATCCGTCAACCTAATAAGAAAGACATGTTATAGCAAATATCAAAATGAAAATCATATTTAGAACACTAAACCCCCGGAACACCGTGTCTACTTTATACAGGTGCTAAAAAGCATTTCAACACACACCTAGGGCTGGCGGTTTTCGCCGATTCCCGGATGCGAGACATCATCGTCACTAGCTTCGCCAACAGCGTAATCATGCTCAATACCAGGAGAATGAAGCTGGTCGAGCTCAGATTCATCAAAATCACCAGCCTCAACATCACGACCAGAACGCTTGCTCTGGAATCGGTTAAGAACGGATGCACTGTCCAACGTATCGTTATTCGAAACGCCCTTGTAGCCCTTGCGGGCACGACGACTGCGCCAGATGAAAAAGCCCCAAACGCTCACTCCGATAACCACAACGATGAGGGCAGCCTCGCCGGACTTGGTATACGCGTGTATCTTTGTCTGTTTCAGCCTCTCCTTCTCCTTCTCCTGTGCGGCAGTACTATTAGCCTGTCCACCGACAGCAGTCTGGGGCAACTTCTCCCCGTCGATGCGTGAATCGGAAGGCTGGCCACCGATGCTGGCGATATCGACCTTCATGAAGCGGTCGAGCATGTCACGACTCTGACGGGGGTTGTCGAATGGAACCATGTGGCTGGAGTTGTAGAAGAGCACGTAGGTGAGATTACGGGCCGATTGGTAGATGCCAGCGGGCTCGTCTTCGAAGGACCAGTCGTGGCGCGGGGCCCAGACGCCCGGGGAGGTTTCGAAGCCGGTGCCACCCTTCCATTTCATGTTGTGGATCAGAGTCTCTGTTCCGATGTGGTTGCAGATAAGGTCTTTATCGCCGCTGAAGAGCAGGACATTGATGCCCGATTCGATCAGCCCTGGGAGCAACTGGACGGAGGGGATGGAATTCTTCGCGGTGAAGGCCATATGGACCATCCCAGCGCATTCGGTCCAGCCGGATTTCTTTGCTGGGTTGATGTTCAGGGCTTTGACGACGTCTGGTCGCTGGAGATACGGCTCAATGTTTTTCAGGTCGGGGGGCCAGTTCATGCCACAGGATTTGGCCTCATCCTTGAGACGAACATCGTACATGTTGTAACACTGGTGATCTTCGGTAGTGAGATCGAGGAATTGTTGCAAGACCAGCTCGCACGCGGCCACATCCAGTTTGTTCTTTGCGGCCGGGGTCTCCAGCTTCGAGAGACAGACTTCGTTGAGTGCGTTGATGTTGTGGTGGAGGGATGTGCCCGGTGTGATGAGGCCTTCTCTCTCGATGTACTTGAAGTACGAAGGGTACTGGTCTGCAGGAGAAATCCAACCGTTGCCGATCAACAAACCCTTGATAGGCCACTCTGTGCCTCCGTTCTCTGCAACACCCTTGTTGCGATCTTGAATGGCCTTTGCAATATATGGGATGTGCTGTCCGGCATACGATTCACCGGCAATGTATAGCTGCAACACAGTCAGTGATATCATGTAGTAGAGGATAAGGGAAACGTACGTCATCGCTCGCATACTCGGGGAATATCTCAAAGAACTTGTCCAAGAAGATAATGAAGTGAGCGGCCATCTCATCCAGCTCATGGAGATAGCTATCGGTGTTCGCATAGCTGAACCCGGTACCGACGGGGTTATCGACGAAGAGCAGGTTGGCAAACTCATCCCATCTGCCCTCGTTGTACTTCAAGGTATGGTCGTCCTGGAGTCGGTAGGGCCCAACTTCCATCAAAGCGCCATCCATAGAGCTACATCCTGGGCCACCGTTCAACCAAATGACAGTGCGCTGTCGGTTCGCGATGTGACGGTTCTGGAAATGCCAGAAGAACAGGTTGCCATTGGTGTTGTGATCGACCTCGATATGTCTAGAGTTGTCGCGTTAGCAACGGCGATGTTCAAAGAAATGCCACTTCCTCGAGGACTCACCCAGCATGCATCTTCAAGAAAGGGCCTTCCGGCGCCCCCGGTAACGAGTGGACATAATAATCAGCCGCCGAACTCGCCGACACCAAGGCCGGACTTAACAGTGATAATGCGGATAATAATATCATGGCCCCGCCCTTCACGGAAGGGAGGAATGGTATTGAGAACATTTTAACAGTCCAGTATGAAGATAAAGATAGTCGAGTAGATTGTCCCGGGAGGGACTCGTAGGCGCGGATTAACAGATCATCGAATTCAAAAGGGTCGACACGGATAGAGTGGAATATGATGGGAGAAACAAGTGTTCACAAAGCAAAACCCAAAGGGAAATCCAAGGTGTTTTAAAAGAGTGTGAGAGTACGAAGCTCAAAGGAAGTTCGAGGCGTGGCCTGTGGAATGAAACTGTTACAAGTAATTACAGGTGGGTTGGATAAAAATGCACTATAATCTACTTGAACAAAGGTATTTTTTGGTAATTCTTTGTATATAGATTGACAATAATTACTAGAGATATATTTAGTATATATAAATATATATATATATATATATATACCATACAACATACATATTAGAACATTTTAGAATCAATATCATATTTCAATCTGTAAAATATATTTTGAAACTCCCTTGAAAGCCCGCTTCAGCCACCCGACCTTATTATTTTAATTTTGGCCCCAGATCTTCAACTAGTATCTTAGAAATCAAGAGATTTGTCGGCATCATTCTTAATAAGATCCACCATCCCCTAAACCGTTAGCTGATTTCTTTCTGGCAAATTCAATAGTCTTACATCGGGCATAATAGGTTGCTCATTGGCATCCTTGACATAGCGGAAAGGCATCTCGGTGCGCTCATGCTCATTGATGATCAATTCCGGGTAGTCGACATATTGAATATCATCGAGGGGTACTAGCAAGGTTCAGTGTACAACACATAATCTCCAGACCTTTTACACTCACCCTTCTCGTGAACAACCAAGCGAGTAACTCGCACCGCAGTATCGGTAGTCATCTGCTTAGGCCCCAATCGGCGGCCGACATATCCCTTCTTCCTCAATTCCGAGGTGCGATCTACAAGGTCGTCAGTAGCCGAAGTGCATAAGAGAAAAAAATCCTAATACATACCTCTAGGCGGATCGTCGCCTGTAGAGTTCACACAGTAAAATGTCAGTCCAAACTCAATACTAATATCGCGGGGGGAAGGAAAAAAAAAAAAATCCATACCGAGGATACCACCGAACAAGAAGACCTCAAAGGTATCACCATCCTCGGGACTCAACTCAACTAGAGCGGAAGGGTCTAACAAGCAGACTTTGGCCTTGCGATCAGCGAAGATCTCCTCGACACTACGCTGCTCAACCTCGAGACCTTTGGTGGCGGCCAGTTCTGCGGGCATCTGCAGCTCGACGGGCACAGAGCTGAGCATGAATCTTGCCCCACGGTCGTAGGATTCACGCGCAATGCAGGCATATTCAAGTGTGGACCATGGACCCAACTCGGGATCCAGATGTTCAACTACAAAGGTTGGTTGGGTCATGGTGTGTATGAGAGACGTCACGGGGAAGAAATGTGAAGTTGAAAGGTTTGGTTCCACTGTGGGTGACGAGATGGATTTTGTTTAACCAATTATATATAGGGAACTTGATATTCAAATTAAATCCAATTGTATTTTATGTGAGAGAGAGAGAGAGTATATCGCTAAGATCTATAGTTATAGGGATATAATACTGTAGAGTTAAAGAGGATTAAGCATAGTAGTCTCCCTAATAATATATATAAAAATCCAGATATTAAGCATATATAGAAACCCACGTCATTTACATAGCCTAGTGGATTTATTTAATATTTTACTATTACTATTAGTACTATTAGTACTCTAAGTATTCTATTTCTACCCTTTTAATTTACTCCCGTTCTCTTCTTCCCGTCAACTTCTCCCCGCCTTATCTCTCTTCTCCCCTCCTTTCTTCAACCCATCCATCATGAATCCTCACCAGCAGAACAAAGTCGATATCAATGTAAGTACTCCCACTATACTATTTATATCATAACTAACCCCCTCTAGTCGCTGAGCCCAGAGGAGCAGCGCCTGCTGCGCCTCTACGGCAAGATGCCCACCAAGAAAGACGTCCTCCAAAACAAGCTCAAGGCAAGCCAAACATCAACCCAACCAATACACACAAACTAACATTTGATTTCAATACAGGAACGCAAATACTTTGACTCTGGTGACTACGCCCTCAGCAAAGCCGGCAAAGCCTCCGACGTAGGCGTCACCAACATCGGATCCCGCCACCCAGTGCCGGAGAACATCCCCCACCTCACCTCAACCTCACCGGGTGCCAACAACTCTGCCAACAATGGTAGTGTCAGCTCCCAAGGTGGACAGCAGATTCCAGGTAGCATTAGCGGACACCCTGGCTCGATCGGATTCCAAGGCCGCAGCCCAATCAAGGATGGAGGTAGCTTCCTACACCGCGGCACTAGTGTCAGTGAGGGTGAGGGCTCTGGTCTGGCCTCTGGATCAGTCCAGGGTGAGCAGGAGCTTAGTGTTAGTCCCCCTACTGCGAGAGAAGGTGTTCCTATCCGTCGATAGACGATACATCTTGCACTGGGTGACTGTGTTCCGAGGGCGATCGTTGCATGCATATCTTTTGAAGGGGGTCTGTGATTTCACTTTCAAAAGCCTGGCGCTATGGGAATTTATCTTGAATTTTATTTTATTTCATTTTGTGAGAGGACGGGGTGCACTGCAGGACAGAGCGAGAGTCGAAGCAGAGGTTTAGTTGCTTGCACTGTGGTTGATCTGGGCAGATGCTTTGTACTCCTTATGGAGTGACATTCACTGTCCATCAAGCACGGCTTCGCTCTTCAGTGTCTTGGCTTTCTTTATTCTCCAATTATCGCCATTTACCATCAACTTATCATTTTTTTCTTCCTTTTTCTTGACTTCTGCTCTCCCTTGTCTATACCTAGTTACGACAAGACCCCCGTGAGAATTTACTGTTTCCATTCTCAATAATTTGTCTACGTTATGTCCTGTATCTCTATTTGGCTGTGCTATATACACATGAAGCCAATATGTGATTCCGATACTTCTGTTGTTTCATGACTTATCCCGTGCTATCCAGTTTGTTCAAATGTCATGGAGTCCTTTTAAACATTTCACACGGTTATTCCACTAGCTCTTGTCAAAATCGCCTAGTGTTCTCCCCGTTTCTCCTATAGGGTGTGATACTTCCAAGTGACAATGCGTCATATAGTAGGTAGGCGTTACTAGTATAGTTCGGAACTTATATTTTATCTCTGATCGAACTAAACCATCTTGCTGAGGCTATATAAGCGGGTTATTCTACATTTGATGGCTAATTATTTTATTATTCTTATTATAGCACCAAGAAGGGGCAAAGACATTCTAAAAAGACATCGTATAAGGACCGGATAGTGTCCATTATATCATCTTAAGCCAAACCATAAAGATCAATGGCACGAAACTGGAAGTCGCCAAAGCAAAGCTAGAAGAAATGGGGTATACTGCTTGGCTTAGAAGTCAAATGAATCAATGGTTCTCTATAAGACTACAACTGCCAAGCTCTATAACATTCGAATCATATCAAGAAAGAAACGAATATCTATTAAACCCCAGCGCCTGGCAAGAAATACAAGAGAAAGAAGCAGGTATCCTATGTACAAGTAGCGGCTTCCGTCGGACTGTGTGTGGATGGAGTAAGATTCAGCTGAGGGAAAGGGAAACTAAGAAGCTGCGAATAGGAAGATTGAGCAAGACAGCAGAGGGTATAAGTGCCGAACTGGATAAAAGGTGGTAATTCAGGGTGGATATGGAAGACAAAGAGGAAAAAGATAGAGGGGGAAAAAGCAACAGATTTATCTGGTATCGTCGAGTCATGAGAAGGGGTGTGACATATTGAACAGAGTGATGTTTGTCTCGAGATACGAGACAACCAAATACACCCATATAGCAATTGAGAAGGGTATGCTTGGCGAGGAAGCAAGGAAGAGAAGTGGGAGTGACGTGAAACAAAGTCCAATCAAAAGCGAGACGGGTGATGTATGGCGTCAGGGCGATCGAACCTATTCTGAAGGACTCGCTCTACCGTAGCTGTAGTAGGCGCAAGGTCATTGACGATATTCCCAAGCGAATCGCCGCTGAGTGGGCTTGTCGTTGTCCGGGTTGGTGCGAGATAGGTCACAAGGATTGTGGCCGACTGGGCTCGTGCAGCAATATACAGCGAAGGAGGCAAGAAGGCCGATTCAATAGGCCTTCGGATTCTTGCCGCGCTGTTAGAGCAATGATGAGAAGGAAAGCGCAGGCGTGTTGACTTGTCATTCAGTCGGTTTTCCAGTGGCCGGCCACTCCGTTGTCGAGATCGTTGGTTTCCCCAAGCCATAGCTCGACCGCGTACAGGGAAATTGTGCAAGCAAGATTAATCCAACGCCATGGGTTACCACCGCCATTGCCTTGGCTGCTCCACCATTCGCCGCTGCCACCCATTGCTTGTGATGTTGATGCAAAGTGCTGCATAAGGAGACTGGTGTAGACAGCAATGAGAATGCTCGGGGCGAAGTAGCTCAGGAAGCCCAGCACTTGGCCTGCTGCGTCGGTATCATCAATGGAGGCCTCTTGGGAAAGCGCACGGGCGCCAGACTCGCGGACGGCTGGGATGATGCGCGTCGATGCATACAGTACGAGCAGGCGGTACGCGAGCGAGATGAGGACGGAGGGGGTAACGGCGCTAAAAACGGCGGTAATGACGTTGAAGCCCGCGTGAATAATCGACGGCAAAGTAGACAGTGCATGCATCACGGTTGTGTAGGACGCCATGATGATGGGAGGCAGCGGAGGGAAGTCTCCGACCTGCGGGGGCGAGGGCATTTGTTCCACGGGGTGCGATGGCTGGTAGTCCGTGAAGATCTGGTAGATGCAGAGCACGACGTAGGCGAAGAGGAGAGAGCTTTCGACTGGGTTACCGCGACCACTTCCAATACCCCAGGCACACAGAATGACGGCGCATGTGACAGAGACTCCGATCAAGGCGGCATCGACGTTGGAGATTTCGGGGAATTGCAGAACACGCCAGAGGAAGTAAACTGAGCTGGAGATAACCGTAGCGGACAAAACCAAGAGGCCGATCTAAGTCAAGGGTTAATTTCTATCGCGACATGCATTCTAGGGAGATCCAAAAAGAAAAAAACTTACCATCCAGCTATCGCTGCGTCCACCTCGGTTGACGAGCCAACGGGTAATTTGGCCAGCGGCCTGAATCACCAGTAAACTGCAAAATCCCTCTGCCAGCTGGAAGACCGGGGTAGACCATCTCAAAAGTCTATCCCAGTTGCCGAGGGTCACGGTTTCCACCAGGCCGTCGCGACCAAAGAGCCATTCTTGAATAGAGGAATCCTGCGCCCTCTTGCCGCTGAAAGTGCGCTCCACCCATCCTGCACTGTCGGAATCAACCGAGAATCGATTCAGCGACCAAATCAGAAGGACCAAGATGACGGCCCATTGTATGAAGCGGAGAACGGTAATGATGGAGGAACGAAACCACGATCGGTCAGGAGTGGTGACCTTCAACAGCGAGACCAGGAAGTAAAAGGCCGCTAATGACAGGGAAAATGCCAGGCCACATGTCTTGCCACCCACATCGAAGGCTAGTGGGATTGACGAGACGGTGATGGCGAGGAACAAGGCCGACGAAAAGACTCGAAAGAGCCACATCGGACCGCCGAAGGGGTATGCAGTGCGGAGGGAATCGAGAGAGTGACTTGATAGTATGTGTTCAGAACTGGATGGGGAAGAGAGATATGTTAAGGAGGGGGAGAGAGAGAGACACACTGTTTTCTTTTTTTTCCCTTGAGCTTATCGCTTTTCCCAACCTTCACGTGGGTCAGGAGAAATGTTTCGAACTAGAAATACTAGAGAGATTCCTATAAAAAAAAATAAAGAACAAAAGAACCTGATATATCTAAAATAATCAAAATAAAATAAACAAGAAAGAGAAATTCAAAAAGAGGTGGAAGTCTCTTAAGTGTTACTAGACTGGCGGTCGGAGCACCACTTTTTTTGACCTAGGCTATATATACTAAGCTAGAAACACTAGAAACACTAGAAACTAGGCTAACAGTTTCTAGTTAACTATCTTTTATTCTACTTATTATAGACCTGTATTAAATATCCACTAACTATGTTGACATAGTTAACTCTAATAGAGATAATATATAGCTCGTCGATAGCAAATAGAGACATCTGGACATGTGGATATATAGCACATGTATATCTTGAATGTCTAGCTTTTTTTTAGCTGACTATATATTTGATCTATTAAGGTAGAAAGATATTATAATGACCCTTATTACCCCTTTCTAGCCTTAGTCAAGCCATATTTGATATATTTTAACTTGACCTCCAGTTAATTCATATACGGTAAGCATGGTAATGCAAGGATGGCCCAACTACAAAAGCATGCCACACAGAAGCTCACGGAGATTAGAGTCGTAAGATGTAGTCTGCTAGGAAAGACATGGCTTAGATCTCCTTCCACACCAACGGACTCTTGTATAAGAAGCTTGAAAACTCAGCCGTAGGATGATAGTAGAGTCTGCCAAGTAATAGCTAATAGCCTAGAAGTCACAAAGGGATTGTGCATAGAAGAGTGCTTATATATGCTAATCTACATAGTAACGTTGATGCTTTTCATCATTTAGGCTTTCTAGTCCGTGGGAATTTCAACTATTGGTCGTGGCAGCTATTCCAAACCAGTCCATTGTCTCTTCAAGCATATCTCTATAGATCTGATAGATCTTATAGATCTCATTTCCAATAGAGCTCCTAGTCACATGCTAGCTTCAAGCCCTAATAGCAAGCCCTGATAACCCGATATGGAAATGCAGATAAGAATCTCAGCCAGCCAGAGCGCAGCAATTAATACGTGAAGACCTTTAGACCATTCCATTCCATTTTGAATGCTCAGATTCAATCACTACTTCAAAATGGCCGAAAACGTTGCAAAGAAACTCAAGACCTCGTCCCCCTTGATCGGGACACACAAGTGAGTGTAATATCCTGAAATTTGCTACTCTAGCTTAATCCGCTCTTATACTGACTAAAAACAGCGGACACTTCCACGCCGACGAGGCCCTGGCCGTCTACCTCCTCCGCCTGCTCCCCACATACGCCTCCTCCCCTCTTGTTCGCACACGCGACCCGGCCGAGTTGGAGAAATGCCACACTGTCGTCGACGTGGGCGGCGTGTACGACCCCGCCATCCACCGTTATGATCACCACCAGCGGACCTTCTCAACGACCTTCCCGCAGCATGCCACCAAGCTCTCCTCCGCCGGCCTGGTGTACATGCACTTCGGCAAGGCGATCCTCGCCCAGAAGCTGTCCCTCCCCGTGGACCACGCCGACGTAGACCTGCTGTACGAGAAGCTGTACACGGATTTCATTGAAGCGATTGACGCCAACGACAACGGCATCTCCGCCTACGACCAGGCCGCGCTTGCCGCCGCCGGAGTTGAGAAGCGCTTCAAGAACGGTGGCATCACGCTCGCTTCGATGGTCGGCGACATGAACAA